TGGGGAGAGATTAATCAAAGGACTTATATGTATTTACACATAACCCATGGACACAGACATTGGTATGGAGAAGGCCTGGGGGTAGGGTGGATGTGGGGTGGAGGGGATCAATGGGGGAAAAAAGGGGACATCTGTAACACTTTCAACAACAAAGATAAATTAAAAAAAAAAAAAGATAACATGCTAATATTCACCAATTCCTTCAGGAAAACCCTATTACTTCTGAAGTGGTTTCCAGAGAAACATAACCACTATTTTTACAAAGGAAGTTATTGGGGAAATAAGGCTGTTCACAACCTATTAGAAACACATTGTTTCCTTTTATTTGTCTTTTTATTTTTTGGTGCCTCCCTGTGATTTCTGAATTCCTACTGTAACAGGACAACCCCTACAATCAAGCCTGCCCTCCACCCCACTTCCATTCCCAACCTCATAATGCTACCATCCAATGCCAGTCCAAGATTCACAGACTCGGTCTACTACAGAGTGCGCAGCAGTCACGCAAATAATTTCAAAAACAGCCTCCCCTTTTGGCCTTTAATATTATGTCTTCAAATGCGACCCCACTTTTTGGGGCTAACTTTGGAAGAGGCGGAAGCAAGCTGGCTATTTTGACACTGGTTGACATCGGAGGCTGATTTCAAATAGTCAAATGCATCCTGACTTATCTCCCTGACGGAAGAACATAATGCTGTGCGCAGGGCTAATTTGGGTGCGTACACAGGAGTGTGTGTGGTGCCAGGGCCCAAGCTGGCTGTCGCTTGAGCTCCTATAACTCATCCCCTCTGACGGGCACAGCCACGAGTCACACGGGGCCAGTGGCTGAGACTATTAACGGGCCTGTTAAAGCCTTGCTCATGGAGAATTTGAATTGGGACTAGTTTCTTATGGAGCTCATACATGTGCAGATAGTCACACTAACCTAGGAAGCAAACATCTCACCTAATTTACGCTTTTCCGCAACTTCTCGGTGTCTAAGGGCAGCTTGTAGCGTAAATCTAAATGCACCTTCACTGAACTTCCCAGTCAAGCAGCCCATGCCATTGATTAATATTGTTGGGTTTTTTTCCATCTACAAGGTAAACATCCTTGAGTGATAAATTCCTGTCTAAATCAATGACCTTAATACGTCTTCCTGCAAACTTGACTTCACACAAACTTGACATAACACCGCAGAAGATGCTCAGGAAACTGTTGAATGAATGAATGAGAACGGTGCAGGCATTTAACAGCAATAGCGTAAGTAACCTCTTACGTTCTTAAGAGTGTGGAGCTTTTGCTGCTGTGTTTTAAATCAGGGAAATAAAAAACTAATTCTTTTCCATCTTCCTAGTGATCTGACTCAAAACCTATTTGAGGGCTCAGGCTGTGGGCAGCAGGAGGACAGGCCGTTCTGACCATTAGCAACACGCTTGCAAGTGGTACTTATAAGAGTCAACTGAAAAGAATTAAAATAGTTTTAAAAGCAGTTATTTTATTTTCATCAAGAACTAGACTTCAAGACATGCCCGTGGAAGGCACCTGCTTCACATTTATCCAACTCGGAACGCTTTGCTGTACCTATGACTCCAGTGAAAGGAGAAATGGGTCACAAATGCCCCTCAATTCTTTTCATAATATTAGAGTTCTAGGATTCTGCCCAGTTGGAGTCCAATGGCTCCAGAGAAGATAGCTAATCAACTTTCCCAAACTAAAGCATGCTCTGATAAAGATAATTTAATTCAGAACCCCCAACCTGCCCTAATATTTGCAGATTTGTTCACCATATGGATAATTTGTTGTAATACTTTTCCCAGGAGCAATGTATATTCCATTCTGTTTCCAAAAGACCAAACCCCAACTGGCTGTAGGGCAGATATTCATAAGTTAGCTGAGTTCTTTTCAAATGCTTCCACATTCTTTTCTGCTACACTGGTTTCTGATGTCTCTCACTCTAATAAACCACCTATGAAATCAGTGGGCCTTAGTTAATGCTTAACTATTTGATCTAATATATTTTACTGAACCACAAAGATTGTCAAGAGCAATTTAACACTTTTCATAGTGTTCAGTGATCTGTCCTTAGTCTTTGACATCACAGACAAGGACCATTTATAGGCTAGATTGCTTCTATGATCTCAGTATTTATTCAAGGCTTCAAAGATACCTTCAGGATTCCAATCAAAGCAAAGTTAAGAAAATCAAATGGGCCAGAAATGGCTCTTCTGACATAGAACATTCTTATTTTTAAGGTGTACAATAAGGTTGGGTTCTTTTGTTTCTCTTTATAAACCTATACCTGCTAACTTGACATATCTTTTGGATGGAGTGTCTATATGCCATGTTGACATCAGAATATAAGAATACAAACACTTAGCTACTCAGTCTGCTCACAGCTAACATATATCTAGGCTTCAATACGTACTCATCCTAATGAATGGTGAAATCAATATCTTAAGAGCCCTACTGCACCTTCTGCAATTCTTACCTTGAAAATGACCCGGGTTATCTTGCCAGGTCTTAGGTACAAAGTGGGGATAAAACCTTA